GATACAAAATCACCAAACCATGCTCAAGCCTCTACATCTTTCGCATAAAATCTGAAAATACAATGATATTAATGCATGGCCAATATAAAAATCAATGAAACTTTTACAATACAAATAGAAGCGACGAACTCATGTTTTACGATTGTTCTTATAGTTATAGGTCTTCTATACTACTTCCACTGAATTTGATGTCGTCGATGTTGTTGCAATGGTGTTTGCCAATTCCACTGTGAATTAAGTAGAAAAACACAATCTTTTTTGCCTCATATAATCAAATGAACACAAATTGATCAACCAATAAATATACTTGGAATTTGAAAAAAAAAGTCCAAAATTTTAATTACAAAAACATAATATGATGATTCATGATCGATGACAATTGCATAGATACTAAGGAAAGGGGGAAAATGTATACACCATTGCCTCATCATCGTCGATTTCTTAAACCCTTTTAAAAATTGCATTGATATTTATGAGTTTCTGACGTTGATTATGATGATTGCGGCGAAGAGAGATAAAGACGAGCAGAGATGATAAGATTCATTTCAAGAATAGTTATGAACTTTTTATTACTTAATTTCTTTTAAAATACGAATATGATTTACAATATATTTACCTTTTGGGGCACTAATCTTGGCAAGTTCACGTTTCAATCATGAGCTATAATTGAGGTTATGAAGTTCGCACAATTTGGTGCTTGTTGGACGGAAAAATGTTTATTCTCGGTGTCACATGTCAAGTTCGAGATTGTTTGTAGTTTTGCTATAATAAGAGATATAGAAGATTTGTTGTGCAGGAAACTTTTTATTCTCAGTGTGACATTTCAATTTCGGGATTGTTTGTGGTTTTTGCTATGGGAGAATACACACACACACACACACACAGTCATGGCCCAAATTAGGGTCTAGTTGACATGCCACAACTACAACAAATAATTTATTTCACTATTATACAAGTAAGGTACGTACTTCTTCTTAACTGTCTAGGGCACTAGAGCTTTTTCCACGATGACTAATATTTTTATTCTAAATTTATAACATTCGACCATGCGTTACAATGGAAATTGAGCTATTATAGTATTCATAGAAATTTTTTCCTGACTCCTCTGTTGCACATGACAATTACAACCATTCTTCTTCATCAAACTTCCTTCATGGCTATTGCCTACCATCATCGCTGTCACTCGAATTATTTAAGGGGGAATTAGTACATGTATATCCAACTAGTTACATAAATATAAAAGACATTTCACAGAAGTATGATCATAGGAAAACATTTTATCATAATCATTCACTTTTGCTTTTCTAAAAATTGAGCCATTGCTATATACTTTATTGAGTTAACATGTGCACAGTTCTGGATTTAAGTCCTTCGAAAATTGGGACACTTTTAACCTTAAGGCTTTTCAGCCTTTTCAGCCCCTTTTTTATTTGCATGGATTTGGGCTTTTCAACTTTTTCTTTCACTTTTGTATTTACTTAGGATTTGGGTTTTCTAACTTTTTCATCCACTTTTACATTTATTTTCGTGATCACTACCACAATATTGTACGTGGATAAGTCTCAACTTTAAATCATAAATCATAAAGTTGTTATCACATTCCGTGCATATAAAGAAAATATTTAGTCCACATAAGCATTTAAACAAGCATGTACTTTGTGGAGGGAGCACACCTTAACTTAAGCAGTTTCCTTCCTTTCAGACAAATCATGATTCTTTCTTTCACCTAATGTCATGCATATGTCTCGTTTAATATACCACTCAATACTTAATTACACTCTAACCTACCTTAATCTTAAATAATTTTTTTACAGAATTGACTAAATTAATTTATCTTTTATAATTTATTTAATAAGACCAGTCGAATTTGAAAACTAATATATGAATTATTTGTAATATTCTAAAATTAATTGAATTTTTGAATACTTAAATACGTTATAAAATAACTTTAAATATTCCTATAATTTTTACTAGCCCTAGGATGTATAAAATTTATCTAAACTTACTATTATAGAAAATTACCTTAATGGCAACTAGAAACTTAATGCATATATTATTTAAATTCCAAATGTCCATAAATTACTAAATTTTAACATAAAATTAAAAATATTATATATCATTTAAAACAAAAGTTTCATAATATTCTAAAACTTCACTAACATTTTATAATTAAAATTTAAATGATGTATTCAAAAGAAATTGATTAAGAATAATCTTGGCGACGAATCGTTTAGACGACGAATCTTTTAGACTAAAAGAGACCCCAAACTAGTTTGGATTCTTTTCCAAGGTATTTTGGGCCTTAAAGACTCCATTAGTTGTGTCTCCTTCTTTAATTGAAACCCAATAACTTTTTATGAGTTAGAATTCTAACGAGAGGCTCATATTTATAGTGTGCAATTGATTCTCCTTTTTAAGCAGCTCACAATGTGGGACGAGAGTGTTTCTTCCATTTTTTTTTTCTAACTATCAACTAACCTCTTACTTTTCTAGCCACTTTAATTTTGTATCAAATACTTTCAAATCCCTTATAAAATTATATTATGTGACTACAAATGTTCGAACATACAAATTCTTCAAAATCCAAATTCATTTTCTAAGTCTTTCTCATCCTTACATATCATTAGAAAATTATACGAGCAACTGAACGTACGAAGCCATAACTCTCTTAAACTTGTTCTTTTAAATTATTTGATAAAATAATTCGGGAATTTTCTGGGTATTACACACACACATATGACTAAACTACAACAATTGGTCCTTTGCATTTGCTCGAAATTAAATTTTGGTCCCTTACATTAGCATTCATATGAAATGATCTTTTACATTTCATTTAACAACTATTTTAGTCCAACACAAAATTGATAATATTAAAAGCAAAGAAATGCCTTCAATTGAATTAATTTATAACCAGCGGTGATTTCAATTTGCAATCAAATCATCAAAATAATAAAAATCTTGTTACACACATGCCAGAACTTTTGAAGTTCTTGTAGCTACAAATTCCTATTGAAAATCATGACTCTCATAATATTTTCTCACTTTTAAAACTCAATAATTAAGACAATGAAAACTAATTTAAAAAGGAAATAATAATAAAAGACCACTCATATTGAATGGTTAATTTAATAAGTTAGGCTATACTCTAAATTGAGAGGAGAAAGCGAACAAAATCACCGCCAGAAAACCAATTACTGTTTGAATAATGATTGGTACAAGGAAAAAATAACAAGAAAAAATTATAAGGAAATGATCTCACCCATCCATTGTTAAAACTTTCCAAACATGGTTTATGCATTTAAGATTAGTGCATAATTAAGATCTTGACATATTATTCCTTGTCATTTTTTCCTTGTACCTATCACTATTCTTACTATTTTATGCTTCTTTTTCTTCTTTGTTGAGAGGTCGATCACTGGAGAAAAACCAAGAATGGATTAAAATTAGTTTGGTGAGAGGAAGGCTAAAGTAGTCTTCTAAGTTATTAGAAAATTTTTTAGTAGTATTTATCCAATTTACAAAAATCATAAAAATTAATAATGCCCTTAACAATAATATTCATCTATGCTATGCCCTTCGTAAAAATTAATCCCATTTTTGTAAAAAAATGTATTTATAATTTTGGTATTAATCATATTAAGAATTTAAATAAACATTTAGATTAAACATCCAGTTTCAGTTTTTCAGACATTAAAGTTCAGACTTCCGACATCGATACAAACATTGAGATCTCAGACTTCAATATAGGCAGATCCAAGTGATTATCAAATAGAATGTAGACTACAAAAGTAATTATATTATATATGTGGGGGGATTGTTCTATTTGTAAGAAGAGAATTCAGTAAGAGAATTCAGTCAAATAAAAAAGAATAGTGTACTATTATTGTCAAAACATAAATTAGCATCCAAACAAATTATTATCTTTGTGACTAAAATACCTCTCTTTCAAGTCAAATTTTATTATCTTTCCCATATTCCTACACTTTTCTCTTTTCCCCATCCCTTCCTATCTCTTCCAACCCATTACGTATGTTTTTTTTTTTTTTTGGTCAAACTATAAAAATTTCAGCACACAAAAAGTCAAGTTTTTTTTTTCGTAATATGATCTCTCAATTAAAAATAACAAAAGAAAACTTCCATAAGAATTAAGAAGACAAGTAATTTATTATTTTCAAATATTATTACCCTATTTCAAAGTAGGAAAAATTACCCAATAGTTTAACCATCTTCCCTCATAAAAAATTGTCACGTGTGCGAATTTAGTTTTTCTATTTGAATGATTTCTTGACTTCATCTTCGTAAAGGAGAGTTTCAAATATAATTCACATAAGTATAATACTAATTTAGGACAAAATAAGCAAAAATTTTTACTAGATCATGCCTACAATGTCCTTCATTTGAAAATGAAACATAAATCAACAATGGATTTCTAAAAGTTGATTTCTTTTCGATTCGTGTTAAATTGGAGTTAGATTTTGGAGGTAGATGATGAGAGGAGAAAACATTAGTACTCAAAAATTTTATTTTGTGAGATTTGATAAACATGCGAAATAAATTGGTAGATAAAAGTTCTCAAAAAAAAAAAAATTAAAAAGCACCCATAGTATAAGGTGAAAGGGTGGAATAAAAAAAAAACAAGAAAATTATGTTTTGATTTGGATAGGGATAATTTTGTCACAAAGATAATAATCTGTATTGGATGCTAATTTATGTTTGGCAAAAACAATACCCAAAAGAATAAATAAATTACTGTACTTTAAATAAATTATATTTAAATTAAAAATAAAAAAAAAAATGAAAAAGAAAAACAGAGCCAGGACTTAAAGCTCTTCTCCAGAAGCTTCGTTGAGAAACCATATAGGAAGCTTAAACCCCCAAGGCCCCCGGTTCTAAAACCCTACAACCTAAACACCACAAATTCTTCACTCCCTTGTTCAACTTGAAGCCCCTTCTTCACCTCCTTTGCCTCCATAATCAGTTGAATTACTGACCTTTTGACAATGCACAGGCTATCTAGACGTTCCATCTCTGCTCTTGTGCGCTCCGGCGTTGTGCGTCACCGGAATGCTACCGCCCCGATTTGTGCTTCTCACATTTCCCGTCTAGCGGTAGGTTTTTTGGTTTTAAACTTTGGTTTTGATTGCTCTGTAATACATCTGCTTTTGTGATTGCTGATTTTAAAAAAAATTCGGACTGAAATCCACCTCCTTTTATGTTCCGGGTAAAGAGTGAATATGATAAACACAAGTGATGGTTGCTTTGTAAATTTTTCTCTGGAATTGCTTTAATTTGTCTTTTTTCTTTTTTATTTATTATTATTATTATTATTTTTTTTTGCATATACTGAACATAGCAGCAGCTTTGTGTTTTGTTCATATATTTAGACAGTTTCTTTCTTTTTCCTTTTTTCTTTTTATTGGTTAAATTTACATTGGAGATTGTATTGTGATTTCTTTTCATTTGCCGTCATATCCTCGAAAACCTCCGCCCACATCACCATTCAAGATTTCTTGTCCCACTATTGGCCAAACTACCTGGGCACTAGGACTAATATGAGTTGGATCACTTAGCCATGCTTCATAATTGGAAAAACGAGCACCGTGGAAATACATTCCGCTCAGCCAAAGAAAGATGATGGAGAGTTGGCCGAAATGGGCACTATATAACATTGTTTCTGGCTTTTCAAATGTAAATGTCAGGTTATTTGCTTCACTGTTCCTCCCTTTGTCCCAAAATTATTTGACCTGTTTGGATTTTCACTTTTAATTCAATTTGTACTAAAAATGAATATCCAACCGGACAATAATTTCGGGATGGAGGGAGTATAAAATTTAAAGGAAAATTAATGGTCAAGATTAGTAATTTTTCTCTCATGGTTTTGCCTGCTATGTCTTATGAAAAATGATTTTGCTTTTCAATATTTGATCTTGAGTTGAATGGAATGGAAATGAAATAAAATGCAATTAACAGTTGTAATCATTAGTGAAGTGAATACTGACTAATGGTAATGATTTTACATTGTGATGCTCAATGAGCTTCTATTTTTGGTTCTTCCCACCCTGGCATGAAAGGGGAAAAAGAAAAGAAACTTAAAAGTTCTTCCTGATACTTCAGAGTGTTTGTTTTTGCGTGCTACATTACTGTTTTTGAATGATTAAGCAGGCGGGAGAGAAAAATGATAGAGTGAGACAATATTCTGTTTTGACCACCAAAAAATGCAGTCCCACGAGATTGACCAAGTCATTTAACCATATAAATGAGCCATTTTTGGGAGTCAGGTATGAATCCACAGCTGCGGCCTCAGATTCATCCAATCCTTCATCTGAGAAGTATGAGTACCAGGCCGAGGTTAGTTTTGTTTGAAGTATGTTCCGAGGAAGAATGCATTTCATTCGGTTAGGAAGGACTTATGAAGAATGTTTTCCTCTTTCTTACAGGTTAGCCGTCTCATGGACCTTATTGTTAACAGTTTGTACAGCAACAAGGAAGTTTTTCTTAGAGAGCTTATCAGGTCTTTATCCTATACCTCTTCATTTGGTGCTTCCTTTGACACGTGCCAAGTTTGTTGACAAGTGTTTTTTAGATATATTAATGATGGTCTTCACCATATGATAGCTGTATTGGTGCTTGTGTGTTTTAGGGTTTTGTGACATCGCTTTAATTTTAGTAGCTATGACTTATGAGTGAATGGTGGTACGTTTCCTATTTTAGCATTTTAGTTTGAAATTTGGAGTGATTGCTCATGTACTGGTGAATCAATTACTCATAATTCCTTGCATTCTGTTTTTGTTTACCTTAAGGTCATTCCTCGTGATTGATTCAAAGATATTCTCAGCCATGTCTTTGTTGTTTTAGCGGTGCGGTGTTTCCCTTGTGGAAGGGATTGAATGTTCACTAACACTATCATCTCTAATAACCTCATGTATGTTTGTATTTGTATTTATTCATTTATTATGTTAATCCAGCAATGCAAGTGATGCCTTGGACAAGCTGCGGTTTCTTAGTGTTACGGAGCCAGAACTTTTGAAGGATGCTGCCAATCTTGACATTCGTATTCAAACTGATAAAGACAATGGCACTATTACAATTACGTAAGCTCTCTGATCGCTCTGCGTTAACCTTTTATGTTGTGCGTTTGCCTTTTATGTTGCTGTACTTTTGCTAAGTTGTACTGTGCATTCACTTTACAGGGACTCTGGAATAGGTATGACTCGCCAGGAACTTGTCGATTGCCTTGGTACTATCGCACAAAGTGGAACTGCAAAATTTCTGAAAGCTTTAAAGGTGCATTTAGGTTTTCTCTTCTAAAGCGACTTTTCTTTATTATTGGGGCTCATAAGCATATCGTGCAGGAGAGTAAGGATGCTGGCGCGGACAGCAATTTGATCGGTCAATTTGGTGTTGGATTTTATTCAGCATTTCTCGTCTCTGAGCGGGTATGTATTATGGACGTTTCTGTTCCTTGTAAGTTGTTCAATATGTCATTGTTGTTTCTTTGACAGCTTTTGACATAATCTTGAAAGGTTGAGGTCTCAACTAAAAGCCCAAAATCTGATAAACAATATGTATGGGAAGGCGAGGCCAATTCTAGCTCATATACCATTCGAGAGGAGACAGATCCTGCGAAGCTCATCCCCAGAGGAACTCGTCTAACCTTACATCTCAAGGTTTGTTGCTCGTGAGGTTATCAACTGTAATGATCATTTTTGCATATTTCGTGATCTCTATTAAACTTTCTATTTTTGTATGCCACCAGCGTGATGACAAGGGGTTTGCTCATCCAGAAAGGATTGAAAGGCTAGTCAAGAATTACTCCCAGTTTGTTTCTTTCCCAATTTTCACATGGCAAGAGAAGGGGGGAGTCACTACAGAGGTACCTTATGTTCATCTATTTCATCTATTGCTCCATTAAACGGTTCCTTTTCTGTGGCGTTTTAAAATGGCCAAGCTGCATTTAATGTTTATCAACCGGTTCTTCTTAAGTCATCTCTCCAATCTCCTATTTTCCTGTCATTTTTGAGGGCAGAAAAACAATCATCCTGCTATTGGTCAGCAATTTTCCTACTCTTTCTTATCACCAGTTATTGTGATCCCAGCAGGTTGAGGTGGATGAGGATCCATCTGAAGCGAAGGATGATCAAGATGAGAAGGGAGAGGTACAGTCTTCTCGTTTCCCATGAGTTTCTATGCATATAAGCCTTTCTGTGCTTATTGGTCTTGTAATTATTTCCTCAAAACAGAAAAAGAAGAAGACCAAGAAAATTATAGAAAAACACTGGGACTGGAGTCAAACAAATGAAACTCAGCCAATATGGGTAAGCCTTCAACTTTCTGCTACTTTTAGCCATCGGCTGAGGGCATACTGAACCTCCCTGGTTTATGCAGCTTAGAAGTCCTAAGGAAGTTACTACAGAGGAGTACAATGCTTTCTACAAGGCAGCTTTCAACGAGTACCTGGATCCTCTTGCATCTTCTCATTTTACTACTGAGGTGAGTACATGTCCTGCAGTTAACGTATCTTGAAGGGTACTCCTTTTCTTGATATACTAGTTTTGGCGTGGTCTCAGCCTAGTAGTTAAAGGGAAGTAAAACAAGTGATTATTGTTTTGTTTTTATTTTGGATGGAGCTTAGTTAAAACACTTATCAAAAGCTACATGAGAAGTGTGAAAAACTATATTAAAAGAAAAGGTGTAGTGAAAATATAAAAGAAAATAGCTTTTAAACTGAATAATGTATCTTGATTTTTGAATTTAAGTTTTGTTTTTTAAATAAATTTGAGACATGGAGTCCCTGAACTAACTTGCCTACATATAAATGCCAGAAATTTAGTGAATAAGAAATAAACGAAGATTGCCCGAGTTAAATTGATTGATAATTTCATGTTATTCAGTAAATTAAAGAACAAATATATAGGAGGCAAATAATTGTCATTAAATTAATAGAAAGTAAGTTAACCTAGCTCTTCTTGCTAAAATTAGATTAACGACCATAGGATTGATGTAGTAAATTGCAGGCCGTTCAAGAAAAAAAATGATAACCAAAGAAACCAGTCCTTATTAATATTACTTTTTGGGTCATAAGAAACCAAGCCTTTTATTGTTGTTGTTAATTCTTTGGTTGGCTAAAGAAAAAAGAAAAAATGATATAATTAGAAAACAAAAAAAACCAGTTAGATAAAGTTAAGGAAGTCTTATTATAATTACTAATAATTTACATGCTGAAGGAAATTGGAATAATTTGAGAAAGTTATGCTATAAATAAAATTGAAAGATTGCTTAGGTATCATATAAGTTACGTGTTATATTGTTAATATGCTAAAATAAAATTGTGTGACAATATTTTTGTTAGTAATGACATGGATTGTGATGCGGACTATGTCACTGTCAATTGGAGAAACTAATTCTTCAGTTTAGTTTTTGGTTCTAATTTAGTTAGATATATTTTTTAAGATGGAATCACACATTTTTCTTGATATTCACCTACAAATATACAATTAATTAGCATATGAAACAAGTTAATTTTCAATCTTTTTTTTGGGGCATCTGAGCTAAAATTCAGTAAATTCTGAGCGGGATTACTTTCTGTTCTGTTATCTCTGAAAGGTCTTCCATTACCATCCCGGATGCATAGATTTTGAAGTTCATGAATATGCAGCTAACTATCAGCCCTGGAATCTCCCTCTCCCTGGTTCTGACTTATTATTCTGACGGATAGTGAATATTTCTTTAACTGCTGGAACCTGATTTAGTGACTGATCTCATTTTAGGGCCACTCCAGTTTGGAAGTAGGCACTGACCAAAAATTTTAGTCAGTATTGGTGGTAGTGCTAGGCAATGAAATATTTTTTTACTTATGAAACCCTGTGTTGCCGAAATTGCTCTTGCAGTATGCAACAAACTGCCAGTGGTATTGTTTTCCAGTCTGATCCCATTTAGCTGAATGACTGTCAGTGTTGTGGGTAGATCTTGCTTTTTCAATAATTTTTAGAAGTGCCTCCTTTATTTGAGTTCTCCACAGCCTTTCTATTGCATGGCATTGTGATGCTGCGAAAGCTTTTGTTGAAACTAAGAACAACGCTTTCAAGGTTTTGAAAGGCTTTCAATTGTCAGTTTTGATAAAATCACTTGATAAATCAGAAGAAATTAAGGTAATTATTCTTTGAAACTTAGTGTCGCACATGGTTATTCTCACCCGTTGCGTTAGACAAAGTTGCATAGCAGAACAATAGATGTGATCTGGAAAACTGCTGTCCGTTACATAACCAAAAAGTGAATATGTTTCCACATTCAATTGAACAATGTAATGCTTTTTTACAAATTTTAGAAGATCCGAAAGTGGCAAAACTTGAATTTAGAAGATCTTGCTTTTTCAATAATTTTTAGAAGTGCCTCCTTTATTTGAATTCTCCACAGCCTTTCTATTGCATGGCATTGTGATGCTGCGAAAGCTTTTGTTGAAACTAAGAACAACGCTTTCAAGGTTTTGAAAGGCTTTCAATTGTCAGTTTTGATAAAATCACTAACACTTGATAAATCAGAAGAAATTCAGGTAATCATTCTTTGAAACTTAGTGTAGCACATGGTTATTCTCGCCCGTTTCGTAAGACAAAGTTGCATAGCAGAACAATAGATGTGATCTGGAAAACTGCTGTCCGTTACATAACCAAAAAGTGAATATGTTTCCACATTCAATAGAAAAATGTAATGCTTTTTTACAAATTTTTGTAGATCCGAAAGTGGCAAAACTTGAATTCAGAAAACTTATGCAATACAGGAATTTACTGCGATACAGCTAATATTAAGAATTTGAACAAGATTCTTCATTGAGTATCGGAATGAGGAGCTTGAGCCAATTAGAGGATCCTTGTTTTTGTTTCCTCTACATCACAGAGGATGTTTTTGTTTTCTCTGCAGCACAATTAGAGCACAATTAGAGAATACAGCAATGGGGGCCTCATTTATAAAATTTGACCTTCTGAAAGAGGGGAAAGGAGCACAGTATATCTATTTGATATTCTCGCTTTGGGATATGTGTTTCCTAAATTCCATTGGGTGATCTTTTGTTAGGATAATAACTTGGGGACCTGATAATCATATCCCAGTTTCTGTTCATAGTTTGATCTGTGTGGGCTGATACAGAGAATTGATTATATGTGTTCTGATTCGGAAGCATTGACTTTTCCCTCTTTTGTGATAGGGTGAAGTTGAGTTCAGGTCTGTACTATATGTGCCTTCGATTGCTCCCATGGGGAAGGATGATATGATCAATCCCAAGACGAAGAATATACGTCTTTATGTCAAACGTGTGTTCATTTCTGACGACTTCGACGGTGAACTGGTAAAGGAAATTATACCGCATAGTTTGACTGATTTGGTTCGCCTCAGCAATCAGCTTTCTAATTTCTTTGAATTCCTCAGTTTCCTCGATACTTGAGCTTCATCAAAGGTGTTGTGGACTCAAATGATCTCCCATTAAACGTCTCGCGTGAGATCCTTCAAGAAAGCCGTATTGTAAGTGCCTTCTCAAGTGAATTTCACTGTTGTATGTATTACAAACCTGATATCCATTTGGTTTGCTGGAATCTGGACAAGTAGGATTTTTATGATAATGAACTTTTTATTCTCTCTTTTGTTCTGATGATCTCCTGTTTGGTTCTGTGAAAGGTGCGAATCATGAAAAAAAGGTTGGTGCGCAAGGCTTTTGAAATGATCAATGGAATTGCATTGAGCGAAAACAAAGATGTATGTATTGTCCCATTGTTATTATAGTTGTGTTTTTCTCTTCTTTTTGGTCAAAGACTGGTATTCTTGATGTAGAGTCAGTTCAATATTTGTAAATCACATTTACAAAATGCACCGAAAGATCCGTTGATTGAATGTTCGTTATATGCTTTTATCACAGGATTATGACAGGTTCTGGGAGAACTTCGGCAAATATATTAAACTCGGTGTCCTTGAAGATAGTGAGAACCACCAGCGACTTGCTCCTCTTTTACGATTTTTCTCGTCTCAAAGTGAAGATTTGCTCATAAGTTTGGATGAGTATATTGATAATATGAAGCCTGATCAGAAGAACATTTATTACATAGCTGCTGACAGTGTGAACAGTGCTAAGAACACACCTTTCTTGGAGAAGCTTCTCGAGAAGGATCTTGAGGTATGAGCTTTAAGTTTGTATTTATTGGAGTTTCAAGTCACATGTAATCTGATTTCTTGTTTCTGTAGGTTCTCTTCCTGGTTGATCCAATTGATGAGGTTGCTATCCAAAATTTGAAGAAGTACAAAGACAAAGATTTTGTTGACATTAGCAAGGAAGATTTGGATCTAGGTTTGTATTTATTGACCATCTATGTAGGATAGTTGTTTTGTGAAGTCCATGATATATAAATTTAAAGTTAAAAATGGAATATGAATGGTTGACTTCCCTATATGTGGTAATGTTCTGTCCAATGTTATATTCACATTACATGGAATTGATCCTCAAGTAGATATTTTTCTTTTCGTTGATGGTATCCTACATCATTTTGTGTGAATATTATATTGCAGTATGGAACTGGTCATCTAAAACAAAAAAAATTTGTTGTTAAAGATATGCTATTTGGCTTGCTCTATTAGCGACTCTTTTTATTTTAACCCAGCAGCTTATTGCCCTTCCCTGAGTCGTGGAACCTGGATGAACTAATGGGCCATAACACTGCTTTTTTGTTCGAACTTCTTAGGTGAGGAAAATAAGGACAAGGAGAAAGAACTGAAGCAAGAATTTGGTCAAATCTGCGATTGGATACAGAAAAGGCTGGGTGAAAAAGTTGCTGGTGTTCAGATCTCAAATCGTCTGAGTACTTCCCCTTGTGTTCTTGTCTCTGCAAAGTTTGGTTGGTCTGCCAATATGGAAAGGTGACTTGCTGATCATTTTTGCTGATTCTGGGTTTGCCATTTATTATTGTGTACTTTTAGCAATGTAAAGTGGTCTGGTTTTCTTGCAGATTGATGAAGTCACAAACAATGGGCGGTTCCTCTAGCTTGGACTTTATGAGGAAAAGGAGGATCTTTGAAATCAATCCTGAGCATCCAATAATCAAAACCTTAAATGTATGAGCATTTTGAGACTCACTCTTCTGTTCTAGATGCCAATACTTGTCAAGTCCAGAAAAGCTCATCTGGAAAGTGCTTTGTCATTAACTTAAATCGTTTTGACGTACAGGATGTAAGCAAGAGTAGTCCAGATGATGAAGATGCTTTAAGAGCAGTTGATCTGCTGTTTGACACTGCTGCTGTTTCGAGCGGTTTCATGGTAAATAATTTCTAAATCCGTCTGCCTCTCATGTTACTCTTTTATCCTATAACCCGGAGGGTGTTAACATGTTCCCAGTTATCTTTGGAATCTATATCTGTTAATTCACAGTATGCTGCAATGGACTTCATGCTTTCTTGATTTGATATTCTGATGGTTGTTCTTTGGTTCCTTGTGTTCGCAATGGCAAAAGTTTTCGTGGATCTTATAGTCCAGTAGCAGTTTGGTGGTAGTTCAATTTGACTGTAATTGTGGTGCTCTACTAGTTGTCCGCTTGTGCTTGGCATATGTTTATTTTTATATTATTCTTTATCGGTGAACTCTGCTTTTGATCTGCTGCAGCCGGAGAATCCTGCACAGCTTGGAGGGAAGGTCTACGAAATGATGAGCATGGCTCTTTTGGGGAAGTGGGGCGCATCTAATGGCAATTTTCAGCAACAAGCAACCTCATCATCGTATGTTCCTGAAACAGTTGAGGCAGAAGTAGTTGACGTTCCTCCTGCTGAAGCCGGTGGTCAGAAGTCGTAAATTTTCCTTCTAGGTTATTTATAGTATTTTCGGCATTGGTTGGATCTGATCTTTAGTCATGGTTAATAATGGTGGTTTACAGAAATTAAAATAGTTTCTGGTTGTCCTAATACAATTTGCGGTCTTGTTGATAAAAGCAATTAAGAGACAGTATCACTGAGTTACCCCTTAGATCGAATATATGTGCAATGCAAATTAACCATTTAAGGAAATTTCAGATGAAGGGAATGATTGTTTAACCAAATCAGTAAGGCTTCATTCAAAATAATACTCCCTCTGTCCCAAAATTATTATCCAGTTTGAGATTTCACTTTTAGTACAATTTGAACTAAAAATGAAAATTTAAACTGGACAATAATTATGGGACGGAGGGAGTAATAATAATAACAATTTTTTAAGAAAAAATCAGTAAGGCTGAATTGAATGAAGAAGAATTGAGACCAAATCAACGTGAAACTCAAAGGCATGACCAAACGGAAGAACAACGCAAAAGCGAACAAACATGAGCCGTATCCTGATTAAATTGGTTAATTTCAAACAAATAGAAACTGATTAAGATGAAAGCCAAATTAGACAAAATTGTATTCAGTACCGAATCAGAATGACGATAAGATTGATTAAATCGTTTTTGTTCACATTTGGAACGAAACATCTCTAAACCATAATCCTATAAAATACAAGTGAGGGACTTGCGGGATTAGGGTTCAGGGTTTTGGGTTTGGTGAACTTGCAGTTTATTTGTACTTTAACTAAAATTCTTGTTACCTTTAATTCTAGGATTAGCATAGTTTGAAGTTTATTTATCCTTCGTTGTTATATTTAAGTCAAAAAAGTACTTGTAAGTCAAACATATTTGAGTGAGGGAATTCATTTTACAATCCACTTTTTGTCCTATCATCATATCGATTTAAAGTTTTTAAAAGTATAAGATAAATCGTGATTCACTTGAAACAAAATTTTTGTATCAAATGTTACATTTTTTCAGTATCATCAAAAAGTAGTATAAAAGCAAGCGAGTGAAGCAATCATTATACTAGTGTTTCTTGAAGTAATACTAGATGGAAAAGTTGAAGGACTTTTTTCATCCAAAGTTTATCTGTGGGGTAAACCTCACTTTTCATCCCATACATCACATTTTCGTCTATATTTAAATTCGCACATCTTCATTCTTTACATTAAATTTGATAACTATTTTCGTCTTAAAATATTATTTTAGCCATTGCCCCATCTGGATTAAGAGGTATTTTTGTGTGTTTTATTCGCTTAATGTTTATTCTGAAATTAATAAAAATAATGAATTAATAGAAACAATCTTATAATAAATAAAATATTATAAAAGCAGTATGAACAGATGTGGAGTGATATGTGCATATCAAACTTAACCTGCTTAACAAATCTACCTCTCCTGCATCATAACTTCGGTTCCCCCTTTTCAACCTTGTCCCCGAAAATGGTTCCTTTAGTTTCTTGAGCTTCTTTCTTCTATTTGTGTTTCTCCAATGCTCTGAGCTTTTAACAAACCCATTTTTTGCCATCCATCTCCCGTAAAAACAGGTCGATGTAGCTGTGTTGTTAACTTGGTCCGTTTACAAATCAACTTCCACATTGTATTTTATCAACTGTTTTTCTCGTTCACTTAGGATTTCCTTCAAATTGTAGTTTTAGTAGTTTCGCAGATGCAATTTTTATTCACTTTGAGTTGAACTCCAAAAGACATTAATTTTGAAGTAAGTTGGAGCACCCAACAATTACTCAAAAGTGGAAGTATAAGCAACATTTGTTATGAAGCCAACAATTGAATCAACCACAAAACCAATAAAATTGAATCAATTAAAAGAAATGCTTTTTTCAGCACAAAGGATATACCTTCATATATATATATATATATATATATATATATATAAATGTCATTCATTATTCGTTGAAATTCAGAAGGAGCATTTTTTAAACTAAACGGCATTACATTCCATTCATATTGTCGAAAAAAGTAGTTTTATATTTATTATCAGGATGTATTTGAATTTGCCAAAATCCGGATTTTCAGGTCAAAGTTTTTAAAATATAACTTCTTTATACAATCTATTTAACAAATCTTTTTTGTTTGGAATTGGATATCTAATCCATTGTAATGCTTTGTTTAGGGTTTATAGTTGACCACAAGTTTAGGGTCTTTATACAATCTATTTAACAAATCTTTTTTGTTTGGAATTGGATATCTAATCCATTGTAATGCTTTGTTTAGGGTTTATAGCTGACCACAAGTTTAGGGTCTTTATACAATCTATTTAACAAATCTTTTTTGTTTGGAATTGGATATCTAATCCATTGTAATGCTTTGTTTAGGGTTTATAGTTGACCACAAGTTTAGGGTCTTTTTAATTCAGATACTTTGTTAACATAAAACCATGTACAACTCCAATGTGTATATATATATATATATATATATATATATATATTAGTTATTTTCAAGCCCCGTATTTGTGAAATGTAAATTAAATTTATTTTTCGTAAATTAATGTGAGTATAATAAAATTCTAAATTAAATTTCTATTTTCGTAAATTAAATTTCTTTTTTTTCATTGAGATTAAAGGTGAAAAATAACCACAAATGTGAAGTGCAAAATGATTACCAAGATAAACATTTTTTCCTCTTAACAAAATAAATATGAGTAGATAAGAGTTACTTTTACGTTGGTTGAGATTGAAGAAGAAGATGAGAAGATGGAATGGAGAAATTTTAGCATTATTCCCCTTTTTTCCAAAAAAAAAAAAAAACATAAACAAGTAGTATTAGGTAGTTAACAAGTGGAAGTCCTGGTCCACTTAATGCTTCTAAAAACTCTAGACTTTCGAGAAGATAAATGTGAAGTGACGAGAATGTCCTTAAAATCTGACAACGAACGAACCACGAACCAATCAATTTACTGTAGATTTGAGGATTGCCATATTATATTAGTACTGGATATATATATATATATATATATATATATATATATATATATATAAATATAAATATATATACTAGTTCTTCAGTTTGATCGGGAACTTGAGAAGGGAAAAAAGAAGCAGTATATGGGATAGGATAATCAAAGGGAAGGAGGAGAAGGAAAATGTGAGAAGAACTGGCGGCGTTGGAAAATTAGGGGAAGGAGAAGTAGATAAAGAATGATTACCCTATCCCTTGATCTCCCCAAAGCAATTGCAGATTGTGATAAAGAATGGATGGAGGAAAAGAAGACAGTGAAGGCAAGCCATAATAGATAGAGATGATAGAAAGATAGTTCGAATCAAATTTTTCTCCTCTTTGTTCTCGAGCTCAATTGGTAATTTTGATAGATTCTGGATTGATGAATCCGCCTTAGAATGAGGAGATTACAGCGGGAGAACAGACCTAGATGGATTGGACCCCGAAGAAGAGAAGAAGAGGAAAACTACATCGTTTTGTACGCCTGTTTTTTTTGCCAAAATAGAAAAGGCCCGAAAAAGAAAAGGAGAGGGAAACACGTCGTTTTGTACGCCTGCTTTTTTGCCAATATAGAAAAGAGAAAAGAATTGTATTTTCCAATTACAAATTTAACCCTCACCAAAATTGTGACCATCTAATAAAATTAGACCGTCAGTTTAAAACCACTCAACCAGAAGGATCGCTTAAATAAAATTCAAGTTTTATGCTCAAGAGACATTCACTTTAACTTTTAGATATGAAAAAATCTAGTCACGTTGCCAATTTTTATAGAACCGTCTCGTTTTTTTTTCAACCAATTAATATTGAAGATATAAGATGTAATTATAGGGTGAATAACATTGTAAAATTTCCCAAACAAATTTTTATTAAAAAATTTAAAAGAAATATTATAACTTGCTAATCAAATTGTTTACAAAAATAAAACTGTTTGTAAATTATAAAATTTACAGCTGAGAATGTATTTACTTATTCCTCCGATAAGTTGTCGGATTTTTAATCTGTTTTCTTAATATATCAAGCAAATTCCGGTTTCAAATCAGAGAAAATGGTAAACAAAGATGTTGATGAGTCCGGCGACATGGGTCTATAATTTTTCTTTTTTTTTTTTTTTAAGATAAAGATATTATATTAAAGGAATTTTAAAAGGTACTACACAACATCACTCCCCTTTCAGCTTGAATGAGATACTTTGGACAAATCAAATTCCAGAAAAGCCTCCCACAAAACCAGAATTCCACGGGCCCAAGAATTGCTTTAATAGGATTGAGAAAGTCCTCAAGGCCAAGAATTTCAAGCCTCTCCCGCCGAAAGTCTTTAATCTAATCCCAGGTAAAAACTTCACTAATTTCAAAATTTAATTGAATCTTAACTAAATCCCAATACTGAAGATATTGCTTTCTTGTTAAAAGATATATTTAGAACTCTGTTGTTGTGATATTAATTAGGCATGGCAAACATTGAGTTTTGATGTCCATTAATCTAAAATCTGAAGCTCTGATCATGATGGTCTTGTCTTAGCCCCTTGATTCCAACACTTGGTAGATTTTATTTATTTATTTATTTTCACTCTCCCCTGAATCTTGTTGTGCTCTTCGTTCTCTAATCTTCGTAAGACTCCGTTTGGTTAGATTGAATTGTAATTGAATTGTAATTGAATTGCAATGATAACATTATTGAATTGAAAATGAGATATTAAAATTGCAATTCAATCATAATTTTTTTGTTTGGAAGAGCTTAAGAATTGACTAGAATTAAGGTTCTAATACTAATTCGTGTGTTTGGATTCTTATAAATTTATTAAGTCTAGAATTAGAATTAGTTTTTTTATTATCTAACTATAACTTTGTACTTTATTTCATTGAGTAAAAATAAAAATTTACTTTTATATATCAAAGCAATTTATTACTACTTCTTACTATATTAGAAACAAAAACCACACTTAAGAGAAAGCACCACCATTTGCCATGTGCCATTTTCACATCATATTTTTAAAATAAATCTTTATTTTCACATCTCCCAGACTTAAAAGGTAAATGCAGTCCAAATCTACCTCCACCTCCTATTTTTGCCAAAACAAAAAAAAAGACCGGTTCATAAAAAACCCAAATCCTCATCCCCATTTCCATGATAATCGACTCCCTAATCAATCCCTTCTCCACAATTAAAAAAAAAAAAACAAATTCCTCATCAATCATCAATTGAGAATATGTGGTAAAATATACTCATTTCCTATTAGCATGTTCAATTTTTCATTAGTGATGATCAACTACATCCTGATCAGATAAAATTTCGACTTCAAAAATATTCTCTTTAACTTTCTATATAAACACAAAGGAAAAAAAAAATCTCATTGATCTTGCTTCGGCCGTTGTGGTGGTGCAATTACAGATATTAAAATTTAAATGATTTTATTTCCACAGATCATTTGTTTGGCTTTTATTATTTTTTATTTTTCCCGTTCAAGAATAGTGTTATACTATTATTTTTATACGTCCATCCGTTACAGCTACCGTAGCCGTTGTCAGGTAATATGATGTGATTTATATAGTTAGTTAGCCTATAAGTTTTCTATAATTTTAGTTCTGTTTGGATTGAATTGATTAATTGAGTTTTTGTTACAAAGTGTGGTTTTTTAAATTTCTTTTAATGTTTCATTCAATTAGAGTGGTTTTTTTTTAATTATAGAGTCTCAGTTTTTTTTCGTATATGGTCAGTTTTGAAGTGTGTTTTTTCTTTGTTTAATTACTTTTTTATTTTGTTTCATACTTCCAGTTGACCAATTATTATTATTATTATTATTATTATTATTATTATTATTATTATTATTATTATTATTTTATTTGCAAATAAAACGCGTTTTTTTTTGTGTTCAGGCTTTCAAGAATATACTTTTTGAATTTTGATTTTTGGACTTTTTTTAGTTTCTCATCATCTAAATAGTTCAGATCGCTTCTTCTAACTAATTTCTGGGGAAGCCTTTTATGAATTTGAAGCGGAGAGGGAAAGAATGATGTTTCTACGTTTATTTGTATTTTTATACAATATTTTTACCTACAGAAAAAAATAAATTTCTCAATTTAAATGGGCTATCTTTTACTTTCTTTCTTTTTTTATTTGCCATGGTGAGGTGGGTTCTTTTTTTGCATAACTTGAAACTTATGCAAATTTACATTATTTTCATTCTCATATTTGTGATCTAATTTCATCAATTAACCAGTTTCAAAATTATAGTTTTGATATTTTACTACTTATAAACTTTTGGAAGAAATAGTTTCAACAATTAAGCGTATACTCTTGGGAGGAAGCTTGCTACAAAGCTGTTATAAATCTCCAAAACTAAGTATTAATTTGGCACAACCGGAGAATATCAATAAATTATCTTACTAATATTTAAACTTATTAGGATGCTTTTATATTTTGTCTAGCATTTAATTCAAGACATATATTTGATCAAGTTTATTTATATTTAAGAAGTAACACTTATAAAACATTTCTAAAATCTTCAAACATTTCTAAAAACGTACCCGGTCAAATACAATTTCTTTTTATGCCAAATATAAACATTTTTATGATCACACTTATAAAACATTCTAAATTTTTCAAACATTTCTAAAATATATAGGGCCAAATACAAAATATTTTTTTTTCAGATACAAATATTTCTAAGATGTACAGATATATTGGGCATGCGCGACCAGACATCACTAGTACATATATAAGATAAAAAAATAAATTTATTATGTACATTTATATTAGAACTTTTGTTGTATGATTAATATATATATATATATATATATATCAATTTTATAATTTACTATATACTTACATACTTGTGGAAAACTTTTTTTATTATTATTACGTAAGGAATATTAATGTGATGATTGGAATTCTCACAAGTAACATGTAGAACATCCTTCCTCTCTTTTTTATTATTTTATAAATTTTTAATCTTTAGTTTTTTTTGGGGGGAGGGGGTTTAGTGGAAATTTTATATATAGTTGAAAGTAAAGACCATTCATTTACGTATAGATTAACATTAATACATGGTACTAATTAATTATTTTTATTTTTAGTATATAATTATATATGGAATAATATATATTTCGACTTCTTGAAACCTTACATAATTTTTAGTGAAAAGAATTTCAAGTATAGTTCAAAAATTATTTATACATTTGATAAAAAAAAAATTGTTAACCATAATTAGTACCCTTAATTTTTTTTAATAAATTACGGATATCGTTATACATTTGATAGTTTTTGTCAAAAAAAATACCATACTAATTTTAATATATAGATCTCATTAATAATTATTATATTGATGTACACCTTGTTTGCACAATGAATAAAAACATATATTAATTTAATAAAAAGAAAAAAAATTCCAGCGCTTAAAGAGGTGGGGGGGGGGGGAGGGAACGAAAAATAAAAAAGGAAAAGCAGCGTTGTACAGCACCGAAGGGAGAAAAAAAAACCTTAAACACAAAAGTGACCCATTTCTTTATAACCCGAAAAATGACCCGTATGTGACCCGTATTTTTTTCTAAAGTCCTTAGAGTTCGAATTACAATTATTTGATCCCACAAAAGAATTGAAAATAAAGAATTGAGGTTTATCTTGAATTATAATTCTAATTCCGGTACTTCTATTTTTGTCAGCCAAACACAAGAATTAGAATTGAAGTGGATCCAATTCAATCCAACCAAACAGAGGCTAAATGCAATTAGAACAGTTTTCGCTGGATAAATAAGACCCCATAAAGTGTACGACTTGATAATCTGGGGAGTCAAAGCGAAATCGCACAAATCCATCCTTGAATAGAATTAACCAGCTTAAGTCCTGGAATCACCAGAAAATCGAAAAAAAACCCAAAATATTTGATTCCTAACATTGAACTCAATAGAGAACCGCTTCTCTTCCGCTTTTAAAATACTAAGAGCATGTAATACTCAATGGTACAATACTTAGCAGAAAAACAATCATGGTTCGATGATGGAACTTCTGACATGCAGATACCACCAATTTCAAAATATACAAATACAATCAAATTCACCTTAGACGCAGAGGAGAACGACATCCATCAAATTTCATTTCTTCTTTGAGAAAAGCTACCACACACTGTCGATTTAAACCACATTCAGATAAATTCTCACCAAATTGCTTCTTCTCAAATTGCTTGCCTGACTCAAATTACTTCTCAAAATAAAAGCTTCCCAAATTGCTTGCCTTAGTATTGAATGGATTTGGTTGCCTATTGAGAGATTATAAATATAGAGTAAATTTTGATTGTTGCCATTGTGGGAGTAGAAGGAGAACGTGAGATTGTGTAACCGGACGGTCGCGGGTAGTGTCTTTCGGTTCACGGAATATTTTTCCCTCCCTTTTAATGGTCGTGATTAGTCAACATCTCCCGTAATAAGCCTGTTCAGCCAGTACAGGTTTTCTCTATTTAATCAGTTAGATTTATGTACATTTCCTTATGATAGCCTCTCATTTTAATCCTACGATTGTTGTTTAAATTAATTGATCCTACGGTTATTAACTTAAAACGGAACCGTCCCGTATCGAAACTCTAGTCGTTCCATATATATATATATATGTAAATATATATAGAAGAACCTAACCAAAAAAAAGGGAAAAAAAATAATAGAATTGGAAGATGGAACAGAACTCATCAAGCATTCTCTTAAAGAATTTACAGCGAAACTGCACCATCAAGAGCCAGCAACCTACTAAAAATTTACAATTCTCAACCTCACTCCCCATGATACATCATTAGTGGGGAAAACAGAAGAAAACAGCATATTCTTAAGCCAATAATGGAAAGAAAAAAGCATGGGGAAACTAGGCAAAAAGAAAAAGCCCCACCACCCTCTTCCTCATCAAAAAGAAGAGAAAAGAACCAAAAAAAAAAAAAGAAAAAAAAGGTGGGAGGGACAAGATTAGCCCACCAACAAATTTGCTACTTCCCTAAATCCCTATCGCAACCCTTGCTTCCAAGGCGCAGTCAAAACCCTACCCATCAATAATTCATACCTATACGATAGGAAGTAAATGTAGAAAGGTCATCAAAACTAAATGGCATATATACGGATTCTAATATATCATGTCAATTTGCTAAATCCTCACTTCCAACACCAACACTTGACTTGTCAACCATTCGGACATTGTACTGTTCGTACACTCTTGCCCGATTTTCCGCCCACCAAAGTTCTGCTTGCTTCTCGCTAAATCGCTTACGACTGCAAAACAGTACATTCATATAAAATTTCTATTTCTGGAGCAGCAAGTTCGGAAAACAGATAAGATTATATGTCCTATGGAAAAATTCAGTTTCTTTCACTGCCCCCCAACTGGCTGTATTAAAAAGCTCATGTCCTATACAGAGCAGAATATTCAATTTAATTTTTAGCAAAACAATAGTCCAGGTAAAGAGAAAAAAAAACTACTTGTTTCTTCTATATGAGAAATCTAAGCATAGAAAATGAACATGACAATACATATCATACCGTGATGGCCCAATTCAAAAGCAGCACTGCAGAAAGTTTTCAACCCGATACATATTGTATTTTGGACTAGTTAATACCATTAGCTTGTACAACAACCACATAACATAGATTAAAAATCATCACTCTTTAATGGGAGGATTCACCAAAGATCCAAAACAAAAGAATTCAGGACTTTTTATTGCATGTCAATGCCTCCCTTTTTCCCAAATATATTAGACCCAGGCGCGTGCGAGCCTAGTTGGCATGTTTAGTTTTAATAGTGATAGATTAAGGCTAAGCGAAAACTGTAATATGCAATCTGTATGCCAGAACAGCATCTCATTGTTCAATGACACCGACTACGGATTCTGCATATTAGAATATTGGGCTTTCCAATCTTTTACAAGAAAAGCAATTTGAAGATGGTAAAACATACCTGAACCTCACTCGCTTGAGATCTTTTCCGCCTCCTGGTAAAGAGGTAAGAGTTATGTAAACACCAGGTTCATCTTGCTCCACCCATTCATTTTCAACACGGGACTCACTTTCCTTTACTCTGCCAGCACTTTTTGCCATTGCTTCAGAATGAGATTGTTTATTTTGACCCAAACTACAATTAGCGGTACTTGATCCATTGGAAACCAATTGGACATTAGATCCATTTGAATCCATCTCTAGGTCAGATGATGGATGATTAAATTTATCAGTAGATACATTTGCAACATCACTAGTGACAGGATTGGAAACCAACGAAGTGATGGGGGGAGTTTTAATGTTTCGAGCAGCACCAACAGGCAATCTTTCAGCCATTTCCTTCAGCTATAATTGGCAACCAAAAAGAAAACATAAAACAAAAAGCTCAGTAGATAAACCAGGAGAATCAGCTCTTTCATCTACCACTGAAGGAAAACAAGTTGCTTCATATTATACTTAATTGGTAGCAATACAACTGTTCCCAACAGTAAAACTATTCCAAAAAGCGTTAAACACATTAACACAAGAAAGAGGACATTATACTTCAGTATACGCAACTGTTAAGAGATTCACCTACTAATGACATACAGAATGGATTCTTGTATATAATCCTTGTATACTAAATACATAACACCAATACACCCATTTTACCTAATGTTACTACAACAAGCTACTCGGACCCACAACCTAGGTCATCTACTAGTAGCTCTTAATGCTGTGACAAAGGCTTCCCTTGTACATAAAACACTAACAGGTACAGGATTACGAGAAGACCACAATGATTTTCTGGTACTGGAAGATGGAAGGGCTAAGAAAAAGCCAGTTATCTCCCATAAAAACACAAGTTGCAACTACTAATTATAGGCTTGGGCTCCAGGGTTGGGAAAAACTTGGATAGTAAAATGGTTGGAGATAGATCCTAGGCTTGGTAGACTCAAAATCAATGCATGTCCACAAAAAAATTAGTGCTTAACTCTGAATACCGAATGCTGAATTGATGAAAGTGCTTAAATCGGATAGCTGAATACTTAGATGTCAACCTCTGGATCAAAATCCATCATGTTTGTTTGAAAAACCTGACTACTAAACATCCAATTGTACCATTTTGCAACACAAACCAAAGATATCGAGGATACCTTTGGTTTCCTACCACTCAGTTCCACGAAATCATTTTGAGCGAAGAAAATCTAAAATCATATTTTCGTAACATCAGCCGTAACAGTTTTAATTTTAGAGCTAACAACTACAGTGGATCACAATCATCAAGTCCAATTTATTGTTGATTTCCATCCAGATCTGGCATCCAACAGAACCTCAATTGGGATTTTTCAACAGACAGGTTTATTCCAGAAGGAATCCCATCTTACCTGAGCAGTTAATGACTTTATTACTTCTTTAGCTGCTTTGCATTTCGCAGTCTCTTCCCCAGCAATAGCTATTGCTTCCTTTAACTGTTTGTTAGTTCGTTCCAGCTCTAACTCTTGAAGTTGAGCATTTCGAGTAAGATTTTCAACCTGAATAAAAAGGTCCGAGAATAGTTAGTTGTGAGTGAATAACCCAAAAAAGGTCATCAAGTTCTGAAATACTGCCCCTAATAGATTAATATAACTACCTACACTAGAGAGGAAGACCTCCCAGAAGTCTTTTAAGTAACTAAAATAAATTTGGACTTTGCCTCTGAACAGAGCAGAAGTCCCTTGTTTGGACAACCTTCCATTTTACATTTTCACTCATTTTACCTCTTAAACACAAAACCCAATGGAAAAGAAAACATCATCCAAACAACTTTCTGATTTACATTTTAAATTCCAACTTGAAACACTTTTTGTTAGTGTAATGACCATTTTAGAACTACAAATAGTTCAGTGACAAATTTGGCAGGATTCCGTTGTTGAGTGATTGTTTTTGGAAAAGTTCTTTTTTGCAGTGAAATTGACAGTATTTAATTGTTTAGTGATGACTTGTACTTGATATTTCCAAATGTAGTTCAACATACTTTTTTTCAAAACCAACATACAAACAATATTTTTACTTCCCATTTAGTTTTCGATTTGAAACACTTTCCACTTTTAAGTGGCAAAATGAAATGTAAGTTGACGCCCAAACAAGCACATGGCTTTAAATTGAATCAGGAAATTTACACGTAATACTATCTATGATACAAAAAAAGTGAAGGCTTCCATGGTGCATACTTTCTCCAAGATTCAACATAAATTAGACACTATTTCAATTCACCAATAACCAAAGGTATCACCATTAAATTCTCATTCACAATTTCAAGACTATTGATCTTATTATCTATGGTGAACAGTTGCAACACCTATTATAGTAATAAAAAAATCACTTATTACGTTCTGTTGACGGTTGCATATGTTATACTGGCAAAATTATAATCTACAAAACACCACATAGTTCATAAAGCCATATGCTCCATGTCCCAAGACTCATGCTTCACACCATTCAGTCACATCACAATTTCATAATAATGAGAGTAAGTGCTGTACATTTACCAGAAATGTTATTTGTGTTGAAACTATAAACATTAAATTTTCATGGTTCTTCATCGAATACGATACTTGAATCAGAGAGAAAAGAATAAAGCAAAAAGTGACTGCGGAAATAGGGAAAGTTCATACCTGAGCTCTTAATTTAATAACTTCTTGACGAAGATTATCATTGGTCATTTTTGCATCATCCAAAACAATTTTTGGCGACGTTAGTCCACCCATTGTTGGAGTAGGCGTAGTAGAACGGGGTGGACTGGCTCTTCGTGATATTGGTGATGTTGCACGTGAAACAATTCTTGATCCAGGAACTGAAGCTGAGAAGAATTTCTTTGATGACCCGGTAAAAGATTTAGATATGTTAAGAGCTCCCCATTGGGAACTTCCATTTGGAATAGGTGATACACGACTACTATTGAACTCTAGTTTTTTATTTCGCTTTGAAGAACGATTTTCCACCTGTTTTAACGACTCCATTGACGAAAATCTAGCAAGATGAGGGCGAGCCTTGACCTCCATCTTTTCATCTTTCTCAGTAAAGTCATTCCCCCCCTGACTCATGCTTCCTCTTCTACCCACAACAGACTGAGATGAAGCATCACTTTCAATAGCTTTTTTCAACTTAACAGAGCAATTATCACAGACACGATATGGTTTATTGGGATTAGGTGCCATAGAAGCCTTCAGAGACTTCTTGCTGCTACAGGAATGACAGAATACAAGACCACAATTATAACAATTGTGACGTTTTCTCTTAAAATTAAAAGGTAGACGGCAACCAGAGCACATAGATTGATCAACACCTGAGACCCATTTGTGCAGGCAAATAGCAGCTGTAAAATTAGTACCACAAGCAACACTTTTGACTTGCTTGTCCCGTAAAGCTTCAACTAAAGTTGGAGAATTTCTGTCATCTGAGTCTCCATGACCCAATCTACCATTTGCTCCTTTTCCCCAAGTATATACTTCAGTTCTAGAAGTCAACACTGCAACATGATAAGCACCACATGCAATCTCCTCGACAAAGCTCTTAGCAATTTTTCCTTCAACACGGCACGGGAGCTTTCCATCAGCATGAGGATTTCCAAGCTGGCCATAAACAGGACTTCCCATGGTGTACACATGCCCCGAGGTTGTAAGTGCAACAGTAAGGCTGTGTCCGCAAGCTACCTGACAAAAATTGGGTTCAACAAGAGCGGCAACACATGTAGGCACGAGTTTTGGTTCCTTATCACCATGCCCAAGTCTCCCTTTATCACCATCTCCCCATGTAAAAAGCTTACCAGACGAACAATTACTGGAACTTGTATTTCCAACCATAACTTCGACAACTGCTGCAGTGTGCCAGACACCACAAGAAGCTCGTACAGTGCGGAGTCCCTTCAGGGATTCCACTTCTCTGGGTGAAGAAATGCTTCTGCGATCTCCATGCCCAAGAACACCAAAAGTTCCATCACCAAAAGTAAACAACTGCCCAGCAGAGGTTACCACAGCAGTATGCCAGGGGCCGCAGGAAATGGATGAAACATGTATACCCTCTAGTGGCCCATTTACTCTTTTTGGGACCCAGTGACTCACTTCATTACCATGCCCTAGAAGACCAATATGACCATCACCCCAAGTGTACAGGTCACCAGAGAGTGTTACTGCACAAGTGTGATGTTCACCACAGGCAACAAGCTCAATATTTGTATTGCTGAGACCGTCGATAAGCTTCGGATGCAAGACATCCGAATCTACACCATGCCCAAGCCTACCTCCTGATTCCTCACCCCATGAAAAAATCTCCCCTTGTTTTGTAACTAAAGCAGCATGACGGCCACCGCAAGCAATATTCTGCACATCTAGTACCACTGCAGATTCTAAAGCTTTAGGCAATAAAGAATCCAACTTCAAACCAAAACCACCAGCAACTCTATGGGGTCCACCACCCAAAACGCCATCTCCTGTCCCTTCTCCCCAAAAAAAGACATCCCCTAAGGCATCGCCATCATCATGACCAGATCCTTGACTAGATGAGCTAACAGCACTAGAAAGGCTTACTCTGAACGCATCCATTCCCATAGCCTTCATCTGACCATGCAAGCCATCGGAACTTGATGACAAGGAATGAACAGAAGCACTTGCAGAATCGGAGGGGAAGAAACCTCTAGGAGGAACAGCGTACATTATTACATCAGAAAATGCTTTATCTATACCATTCTTTGGGGGACTATCATATGGGCTGTGAAGACGAAGTTGCTCATTACCATCCTGATTAAGCCAATTACAAAGTTACTAAGCAAGCCAATAGCCTTTAGAAAAGGATGTAATGTGTGCATAATTGAAGGACAAATTAGTTTTCTTTACATTTACCACAATTTGTATCACATACCTTCTGTAAGCTATCACCACTCCCAAAAGGAGAATGCAATGGCGAACTTCTTCTTGTATATGTTCGTGGACTATTAGCTTCAGATGAAACTCCATCACTCCTAGATTCTGTTCTCCACTTCCTTTGATGGCCCCGTGAAATTAATGCCTTCAACCCGCTAAACCAAACTTCTGCTTCATCTTTATCTTTACATATCTGGAGCCCGTATTAATGCCCATGTGAGGGAAACAAAAATCAAAAAACATGTAATAGTTCAAGAAAGGAAATGCACGAAAAATTCAAGCACGTGAACTTTTGACGGAAGGCCAGTACCAAAGAAATGCTTACCAAGTCAAGTGATCTGTCATTATATATGAGCGAAAAAGATTGATACTCTTTTTCAGGCCGTGGATACCTTTGGAATATAGGCTGAAGAAACAAATAAACCTAGTGTAAATATCACACACAGTAAAGTTTGGAACATTACAGAAGGAGTGATACATATTCCCAAAAGATCAGTAAACAAAACAAATATGCAACATCATAAACTGATAAGCATAACTATTTCAGAAATAGCTGGACACTAAAACAAGTGACGGGAGATTATTCCTGAAGATAGAGCAACTAAAGAATGATTCCAAAACTAGCTTTCAGAATGGCTACAGGCTTGCAAGTCACTCTAAGTTTATTAAAACCACTCCGTGGAAACTTCCAGGTGTAATGCAGAAGCTGAATGTAATTTTGTAGATTATTTTGCAAATTAGTCCATCAAAAAAACACGAATAATCATTAACCGGTGAACTTTAAATCACTGAGCTTGTTTAAAGAGTACAATGCTAAACGTATATAACACGACACTCAACTCATTGATACTGGAAACATAGATTACCGCAAGAGCTTGTGGTGAACATCTGAACCAAAAAATTCATAGAGCCTCGGACTAAATCAGACAAACATTGTAAAGAGCATGGGCAAGTATGCTATACCTGTCGGACCCTATATACTAGCAGACGCCAGCAGTTAGTGATCCTAGTCCCTGGAGTTAAAGCTGGCCGTAGTTAAGTAACACAAATAATCATTAACTATTGATATTCAAATTACTAAGCCTGTTTAACCCAAGAGGACAACACTATACAAGTAAAACCCTAGAGGGCAAAACCACACTCAACTCATCAGTACTGGAAGACTGATAAGTGGGTTCCAGCAGCATCTGCACAATATATTCGTGTTGCCAAATGACAATCTGGTATTCATAGAGCATGGGCATGTACAGTGTACTTGTTGGAGCCTAGATATAGGCACTAATACTATATGACAGGATTATCCTAGTCCCAGGAGTTACTTAACTGATAATCAGACTTACCAGACCTCACAGATTTCAGCAGCATAAATTTGTTTTTGATTGGAAACCAATTTATACATTCACGGCCTTATCACAACAAGATCGGATAAAACAAATGAAACTTGACAAACAACTAAGTATAGAACCCCTAAACTTCACATTTTTTTGGTAGGATTAAAATCATTTCTCCATGTCATCAGAGAGACACTCATTTCTCTCTGAAGGATATTAAAGTGACAGAGATTAAAAAAAAACAAAAAGTAAAGAAGGGACAATGTAAGGGTTTGTTTGGTATCTGCATTTATTGATTTAAGAAATTTTGAGATTTAACATGTTTGATTAAGCATTTTATTTAAGCACTAAGTGAATTCAACAGGTTAGTTCAACATGTTTGACTAATTGAAGTGAATTAAATTTTTAAGGCTTTCAGATTTTTAAATTATCACCAGATAGATGATTCCGAAAGTTTTCCTTCAGCAACGAATACTAACAAAGATAAATTACAGTCTGAATTGACCATAAGACCTGAGGGGGCTTTTATTACAATCTGAATACGACAAAAAAAATTGTGCCTGAGTATAAGATATTAGAGATCTCAATAACTCAACATTGCGGAGGCGTGGATTACAATCTGAATTGACCATAAGAAACTGAACCACAACAATCTACAAACAAGGAACCAGAATGGTTGTGCACCAACTGCTTAAAAGTAACACGAAGGATGTGTATGATACATTATGGAGCTATGCAGTAATGGTCTTTCTAGTTTAAAGAGATACCCATCAAGGGAAGGGGTGAAGTTGACAGAGAAAATGGCCTCAGTTTATGGAAAAGGCAAACATAAAAATAAAAATTATAAAATAAGATCATTCTGAACAATAACCCAAGACTAAATCAAAACCAATCTGATTGTGATACTCATCCACTTCAATATGAGAGAAGAGAGAGAAAAAAAAAAAACCCCCTTTAACGTTGCCTTCTGTATTTGCTACCTTGAGTAAACTACATGTATTTGTAGTATAAGAAGCTAAACTGACTTTTGACATGAACTTCTAGCTCACAAGAGGCATGCACTTACAAAGAGACTTCACAAGGTGTCTTCGGCCAAAACTTCAAAGGAATCATTTGGAATATCGAGCTTAAATCTTTGAAAGAACTACACATATGTAAGGATCCATGGGGATGTAAGCGTATTTCTTACTCTAGTCAGATGATATGATTTACTGCATGTTTGAACAACTTAAAATCATATCAATAAGAATGGCCCCGAAAGACGTGAAATATACATCAATTGCAATAAGAGGACCTGAATTGAACTAAAAAGGGAATGGATGTAATTATTCCAATTTTAACTTCCAAGCAACTTCTATCACCTCCATTATATCCCAAAGTGAGTTAACCAAGTGGTTTTGATATCTTACATCTTCAGAATGTCACAAATATGAAACTAATCAGGGTTATAAAATCAACTAAAATAGAAAATTAAATAAAATAGATGTCCCTGCTATTGCCTAATCAAATATCTACAATACAGCATGGTCTTTGCCAAAAATTTGTCTCCTGTCGCATCAAATCTAGACAATTAAAATGTTGCAGAAAAGATTGATACCAGCAAGATAAACTTACAGTGCGCTGCCCAGAGATGATCCTGGAGACATGACTTAGTCTTAGGTGCTTCTCCTCTTTACCAGAAAACCATATCAAAACAGACTCATCCTGCCAAATACCAATAATAAAATAATAAAATCCACCATTTATTAGTTCTACCATTTCACAAAAATAAACTCATCAATAAGTAACAGTTACCAAATATCAATAAATTAAAAGTAACATCAAGAACAGAGTGCTATAATCATCAATAAGTAGCAGTTAATGGATTTATGTCCACAATCACAAAAGAACAACCACTGACTGCTTCAAGAACGAAGCATAAATTAGCGGCTCCTAATGCATATGTTTCTAGTGAACTAGATTTAACTGATTCTGAGCAAAACTTTCTTTTATTGTCCATTGCAAATAGAGCTGGGAGAGTCACCATTGACAATTCTTCTAGCCTTGTGCTAATAATGTACTAGATGAACATGGCTCAATTAAAATCCAGTCCTTCCATTGGTGAAATTACTGGAAATGAATACATCAAGTGGCACAATGTATGGATCACAATGGAAAGAGCCTCTATGGATAATTTGAAGGGTAAGGCTGCGTTCACTTGACTTACCACCCACATCTTATCATTGCTTTATTTATTTATTTATTTGTTTTTTTAGAAGCAAAGAACCAAATCTATGCACACTAAAACATAGACAAATTTGAAAGTGAAAGAACAAACAAAATACTACTTAAGAGAAGGGGATATTAATGATTATAAGCATGGACAGTCCCCAGTCCAGATAAAAGGAGGATTGCATTAAATCAATGGCCAGCGGACATTATGTCATGCTTTTTGACAACGTCCTAGGGGTGCTTAGAGGTTATTGCAGGAAAAGAAATATCATTGGGTTGTGTTAGGTCATAGATAAAGTATCCTTTAAGCTTGAAAACGCTTGTAACACCTTAAGCTAGTTCATGCCAAAGTAAGAACTTTACCTTGTTCATACTAGGAAATTGCCTTTTAGCACAGGGACTCAACATTTTGGAAAGCAAAATAATCCCAAAAGTTTGCCATTTGGCATTTAAAGCTTTCAATTTTTTCTCACGATGTTTTGCAAGATTCTCCCCAAAATTAGCTGTATTTGTTGACTTTGTAATTAATCAACTACTTATTGTCTCACTTTTCATCCTGAAGTTCATCATTCAGCATTTAAGCAGAACTTAAGCTTTACATTTATTCTCAAGCAAAATTTGGACATCTCCAACCAAAAATTAACAGTTATTGGCGTATGTCTCCCACACAGTCAAATGTAGAACTTACATTGACTTGGTAAAATATAATGGTAACTTGCATGAAAATTCATTAGAAAAGCAATCAACAGTTTCATTAGCCCCTAACATGGAAAATATGGAGGATGAATCGTCTTTTTTTTTAGTTAAGCATATAGACAGGTGACAAATGCATGCATGATCGTTTCCATATTCGGAGAGCATAATACCGCGAAGCACAGAGACACAACAGGTTCATTTGATAAATACCGCCAAAGCCCAAAACCGCGGAGGAAATTAAATGAAGTACTCCCAACAAACACATTCAATAATAAGTCAAAGCCGGGCTGGATCATGAATCGGTAGTCCTAACGGACACTAAATGTCTACTTACCATAAAATCTTTTTCCCCCTAAAATAAAAAAGGATGGCAAAGGCATACCCAAGTGATTTCAGGTAATCAGATTTACATATTCATTAAACCATTTCAGCAAATTAGGGGCAAAACTGCAGCTTAAAAAGTTTTAATCCTTCACCACATACATCACATAATCAGATTGAGTTTGAGATTCATCAATAAAAACTTCATTCCTTTGCCTGTCAACATAACATGGAGATTAAGAAATAAGAACTAGGAACTTCACATGTTTTTTCCTATCAAACTTTCCTAATAATAAAAGAAGAATAAACACAAAAAGCATGTAAAACTAGGTTAGAATGCTAGAACGCTATATGTATTGCAGTGTGTGGAGAAACAGGCGGAGGTACCCAGTTGAACAGCATAGCTAATTAATCTATGTTGGCATTCAGAGCACTTTTTATACGAAATCTATCTCTATTACAATCTGTTTGATTAAAAACCCTCCACATCAAACAACTTATACTCTGTATCACCCAACACAACAAAGATCGAAACCCAACTGACCCAACTCATTTGGTTGAGGAAATTGGGTTTGGTTAATTGATATCTTTGCTTTGAGTAATTTCCACCAGCTCCACATAGATTAAGAAAAATACTATAAGCCAAACAAAATAAGAAAACTATGATTTTCTTTCTTGATGCAAATTATCAAACCTTTCAAAAAGCACCACCAGTTAGATATAACTGGAAAATGTAAAAGAATGTTTAATAATCATCACTAAAAAACAAGTACTAAAAACCCTTCCCAAGGCCCAATGCTGTTAGAATCATATGGTAAACAACAGCATATCTAACAAGCGAACACCTTCTAAAAGGTCTAAGAGTGTTATACTTACATTTGCCAGCCGGAAAGGACAAAATTTAGGCTTTCCTCTCCTTCCATACTTGAGCAAATAAGCACCTTTCTTTAGAGCAGTAATGGCCTGTAGTAAAGATGACAGCCCCCTCCATGTATTAGGATTAACAAAAATCACAAGCAGAGCCAAAAAGGAAATAAAAATTTGTGACTAATCCAAACAGAAATGATAAAATGAGAGGAAACAAAACGTATAAACCTTGGTTATAAACGAGAGGTAAAAAGACCAAGATATCTGTATGCATGCCAACAACCTTAAAAAACAATTTGCTTGTATTATAGATAAAGAAAGAAAGAGCGAAAGAAAGAAAAGTGACAGTTATATTCTAGATGAAAATGAAAACAATAACAGTAACAAATACAAAGACAGCACGCTATATTCACTAACAAACTCTGAGGGAAGAGGATTGAGGGAAGGGGTCAAATCAACAAACAGCAACTAATCATCTAAATAGAATCAACAAATATATGTAAATCAGCCATTATCTGTTTATCCAAATAGACAGCAAATTAGATCGCAGTACAACAAAACCAAAATGTAAGATCGCAATAATGATAACAAAGCTGCCAAACTCTGGCTCCGGCATTGTCACGGAAGGAAGTGTCTTTTAAAACAGCGCAAAGCTTCCGGAGAGTACGAAACAATAAGAATGAAATCTCTTTCATCACAGGCAAAGTATTATATTGCTAAAACATACAAAAGAAAGTTGTTGGAATATGGAGTACATGACAATCAACAAGGAACACACCCAATGGTTTGAAATGTTCCAACATGGCTCAAAAGCTGACAATCTTGATTCATTCATATAACCAAGCAATTTCAGTACGTTTCTATTTCATAAAATGACGGCAATGACCAGAGGTTCACCATTGTCATTGCATAAGTACTGTAATCAAATTCGACAACAAATTGGTCTAAAGCGCACAAGATGAATTTATTTCTCCCTGAACTTACGAACCTAAAAAACTAAAATGAAATTCGTCCAGAAAACACTTTCTCTGAGTTGAAATCATCCTAGAACACATTATAGAGCAACATAAAAAACCGCAGCACACCAGCTAACTGGCGCCAGTTCATAATGTTTTCAATACTTTAATGATTTCGAGAACAGCAGCATTGCAATTGCAGTCAACTTGCTTCCTTACAGTTTCTATTAACTTGGTTAACTAAATGTAATCAGCCATATGCATTGACAAAGACATCCAGTGTAATGATATACCCAAAAAAAAATAAAAATCAAAAGGTGCAGGCACCACACAAACACAGCCAAAAATCAGAACGTAGTTAACTCACTCAGACGGCATCAAATCAAGGGCATCAAATCAAGTTAGTGCCAAACGCTTAGGCAGATTATGCAATCAATCAAACTATTTTCAGCACATCAAAAATTCATGAAATTTAAAGAAATGTTTCAATTACAAAAAGTGAGAAATATAATAATACAGATTACAGAAACTACGCATTTACTTAACCAGTCAACGACTTTGAATTCAAAACCTAACCTGTTCGATGTCCCTTTCCACCGTTCCACCAGTTCTAGTAGCATCAGAATTCATCCTATCCGCACGTGGCATTCAAGAAAGCAAGTCCCCGAGTAAGCCCCAAATACTCTTCTAAACCCCAATCGATCACTCAATCCCCGACTCTTCTCAACCCCAAATCCGCCCATTCATCCACCATACCACTTCAATCTCAACCCAGATGACAACAACAGCCGATCCTATCTTCTGGGTTTAACTTCCAGCTGAAAATAAATCCCAAAAAGCACAAAAAAAAGAAGAAGAAATTAGAACTATTTAGAAGAAGGATTTTCTAGCTGCGCCGCTACAGTGACTTCATCAACTTCAACAGGAAAAGCACCGCAGACAACAGATTTTTTTCCCAAAGAAAAAAAAAAGGTGTCAACAGCTGTAAAATGAGGTAAATTTAGAAAAAATGATTTTGCAAAAAGCAAAGTTCCCACAAACAAAAATCAAACGGAGCTCCGTCCATCCATTGTTAGCTTTACTTTATTATTTAGAAAAATAGTAAATGAAATCATTATAAATAAAAAAAAAAAATTGAAACCCATCATAGAAAAGAAATGGAAAAATGCAATGAGGGAGGGAGAAAAGAGAACCAAAAAAACTTTACTGAATTTGAGGATTTGCGGCTCGGAGTCACCAGGTGTCGACTGACTGACAAACAGAGAAAGAGGGAAGAACTACAGTCACCGTCAGTGTGTGTTTTTATGCGTGTGGGAGATCAGGGAAAAAAAAGGTAAGAAGAATATATAAGAAATATGCATAAATTCTAGGCTAGTGGTGAAATGCACACGGGCCCCCGTCGAGGAGAAGGAGGAGATGATCTGCTGAAGTGAGAGAAAAAGTTGAGGAGAGAGAGACGACGGAGGTGGGGTGGGGGGAGAGTGGACTCAATAGAGTAAAAGAGAACTCTTTTCTTCCTTTTCTTTTTTTCTTTTGTTGTGTCGTTGTTATATTGGGTTCTGGCTTTTTTGAAAAAAAAAAAAAGAGTGTTTGAGAAATTGACATTTGACATTTTCAGCATATATTTTATGTACTCCCTTCATTTCAAAATAAATGTCATCCTACACGTTCCACATAATTTAAGAAACTCTTAAATAAAGTAATAAAATTACTTGAATATCCTCAAACAACTACATTAAAAAAAATTTCACCAATAGTATTAATTCTTTTGAGGATAATTTTGGAAACTTTGGACAAAAAATGCATTGAAATGTGATAACGATACTTATTTTAAAATTTCTTCATTTTGCTAAAACGACACTTATTTTGGAACGGAAGGAGTACTAGATTTTAGTAGTGCATTGCACGGGTTATTTTAATGTGTGAGTTATAATTACAAATTTATGATTTAAGTATTGCACGGGTTTATTTTAATTTTTGAGTTATAATTGCATATTTATTATATAAATGTTGAATTTGAATAATGAAAATGTTTATTTCAACATATGTATGATTAAAATACTTACAAACAGTTATAGAATATCATAAAATTATTGTCTGACATTACTACAGTAAATTGTGTTATTGTTTCGAAGGGAAACCAAATAATTGAGGGCATCAACCCGACAAAATTCACTTCTATGTAACATTTATAATATGATTACTAATATGATTTTCCTTGTATTTTATTAGAACTTTTGTGACCATATTTGATTTTCTTTTAATTTTGCAAAATGTAATGTAAATTTAGCACCTAAAAGAACAGTTTTCATTAGCGAAGTTTGATCTTTCCATGTATAAATCCACTTACGTGAGAGACTGGCCCTTGACTCCTATTTAATTATTATAGAAAATAAACAATAAATTATATTAGTCCCTGTTTGATAAACCAATTAAGCACTTAAACTTATTAATTAAGTATTTAATTGATTAGCACTGTTTGATAACATAATATCATAACAACTTAATTGATTAAAAACTTAGTTTACTAAGGACTTAAATTTTAAGTGTGTTTGATAACTCAAAGTAGGATGTCTTAATAAATTAAGTATGTCTGAAATGCTAGTACAAATGTCAGTCTAAAAATAAGTGATATGCCTATCACTTATGTCTGAACTGAATTCTTGAGACGATTTTTTTCTATCTATTTATTTTTATATTTATACTTTTGATATTCTATCTTGAAATATTTTTATTAATCATGATGTCTAGTTCCAAATTAAAATTTATGTAAATTATTTTTTATTTAATAAATATTTATTTTTATATAAAAATTAAAATCCATTAAATTCCATGATCAATATATATATATATATATATTTACCATAAAATATGAATTTTTTTTGACAATGATAAAATATGACATTATTATTAACTGAAAAAATAATAACATAATAAAATTTAAATATTTTTATTACATTATTTAATAATAATATTATTATTTTTATTATCTTAGTTTCATATACATCAATTATTTTTTTAGATAAAATTATAAGTCGAGATACTTTAAATTTCAGTGTTCAAACTTCAAATTTCAGACATTTTATTCAGTGTTTAGATTTTGGTTTTTATCAAACACGACAAACTTAATCAGTTCAGTACTTATGATTCAGTCTTTAGATTTCAGACTTCAGACGCAAATTAAGTTTTATCAAATGGGTCCTCTTCAATTCAGTCTAAATGAGAACTTTTTATCTATTAGAGAATATACAATTCAAAAGATGAGTACTTTTTTTCCTTAAAAATTTATAGTTATGATTACAAAATGATCCATTTCTTTTTTTTTTAATGGAACGTACCTAGCGGGGATGGTAACCGATTTATCAATGTGAAGCACAATAGCGAATCTAGAACTAAAATTTACCGGGTGTCAGAATACATTGTTAAAAAACAGTAACACTAATCTTATTGAAATAAATTGAATTATATTTTGACGTCGCGTATATAGTCACTTCTCTATATTAAATTTTACTATTTCTTTTTTCTTTGTGTATAAAATTAGTTATGCAAGTTTATTCAAGAGATTTGCAATTAACACATTAAAAGTAAATGACATTTTGACAATATTTAAATCTAAGAAAAAGTTTTTCTAGAATGATTTTTTTTTTAAAAAAAAAACATCAAACTGTACCAATTTTCCTTCTTTAGTAAAAGACATCTCAATAGAGTTTAAAGTTACGTATGATATTATAAGAAAAAATTAGTCAATATTAAGGTAGTAGATATAATGTTTATCAATACACAATTGAGTTTACCATCACTAATATAATTATTAATGTGAAAATAATTTAGAGTTTTATTTTGAGTTTTAAGATAATCTATGACTAAATATAATATCATTTTGAATTTAGACTACTTTTAATTGACCTAAAACACAATTACAAGAAACAAAAAGAAAAAAAAGACAATTACTCCAAAATATACTGAAATTAGTAAAATAAATTAAAATTCTAACAATTATTAAATTAATGTAAATATTATACTATTGATTTAGGGTGGGGCCAGTGGGGGCCTTGGCCCCTGTGACCCCTACCAAGGCCGTCACTGGCCCCTACCCTAAATCCGCCAGTTGTGAAGCAAAAAGGTTTGGCAGTGCTTAAAAATTACCAAGATACGTAAATAGCATATAACAAGGTTTGGCAGTGCTTAAAAATTACCAAGATACGTAAATAGCATATAACAAGTAAAGTTTCAAAGATACTATTTTACTGAAATCATAAATCACATCCCTGTACTTGCCATATGATCATCACCTTACTGTTGAGTCACTCATCGAGGGTATTGGTTGGTTTTCATGGCTTAGCTTCTCCTCCTCATGACAGCACCACCTTATTGATGAATGTCTCACCAAGGACACTAATAACAATCATTGGCTTGAATCATCTAATAATGTTCGTATCACCTTACTGGTGAACATCCCACCAATGACGCTGATTAACTAACACTAACTTATTCGGATCTAATGTAAGGGAGAGATCATTGATCCAATATCAAAAGACCCTTAATCTGTGATTAAGACCCCAATATAATCATAAGCAATGATTCCCGATGATGCCAATTTTGAGAGACCATCTGCAATTGAGTTTGTCTCTCTATAGATGTGAGCTACCAAATATATTCGGTGCTTAAGGATTGATACAATCTCTTTCAACTCAAATAAATATCTCCATGGAAACTTAGCCTAGCAATACGTCTGCAACTAATACATTATCAGTCTGTATGACGACTTGCCCTAAATCAAACCCATCACATTTTCGAACTCCATGTAAGACTGATCCACTAATTTCAATTGCCAAACTAAAGCCAATATTTAGAAAACAAGCTTCCTATACACAAAACCTCCACCTTCTACTCAAATGACAAATTCAAAGCCTAAGTTTTCGAGGGTGCCAAGTTTCGAACCATCCGAATTCATTATGTACTCGCGCCCTAGGAGGACCCCAGTGAATCATTCGCACTCTTCTCGCAAGTGAAAATCTATTTGAACACAAAATAACTCCTACAACCTGATCAACTCCATTCGCGATCTTACCTTTAAGTTTCAAACCAGTAGCATTGATCTAAAATGCTCATTTACGGCTTATATCACATTTGAAGCTGAGAAAGCCTCACCATTAAAGATGTAGCAGGTTATTGACTTCCATAAATCCCATAGGATAATAAGAAACACAACCACGATCACCACCTTAAATCCCGAAGAAAAATTTCCATACAACCACTAAGATTTAATGTAAACCTACAAACCAGAAGTCAAAGGCAAGCTTAAGGCCAGTTTTGCCAAATATCCACACATCTTTTGATTGTTGGCACTCATAATACATGTGATGAAGCTGTCATTGTTTTGCGTGCAAAAAGGACAAATAGAGGGCATATTGTGAATACCAAAATTCTTCATGATTTTAGGAAAAGAGAGAAGCATGTTATAAAGTTTCCATGCAAAAATGGAAACCTTTAATGGAATAGTATTATGCCAAACCTTTTCTATCGGAAGATCATCCAGACTGACCTTCCTCATAGTTGTGTGCACGGATTTAATAGTAGACTCAGCATTTGAAGTTGGCTGCCTAACCAATATATCACCTTCACTCTAAAATTCAAACTCCATCTCCAGCGAAGCATCAACTACATGGTCCAAAAGATGATCATACAAATCAGTTCCATACTGCATTCGACGATCAAAGAATTGTTGAATAACTAGTCAATTTGGCAATGGTGGATCTCGACTAGGAAAATCCCATAACACCCTAAAATCAGACCAATTCGAGAACCACAAGGACTTATTTCCTCCTCGAAATAACACCTTTGATTTATTTGCTGTCTTATTCCTGATTTTCACAATTCTGGTCCACATTATTCTTTGCCTCACAGTCAGAGTTAGGGAGTTAATAATTCTGACCCATAAGCCTTGTTAATTCTCCACTTTCCACCACAACTTGGATGAGAATGCATCGATGATGTCTCTGAACTTTCGCAGCCCCACTCCATTCCCCAAAATTGGAAAGTCAGCTTATCTCACGACTACCAATGCCTCCTGAAACCCTCTTCACTATCCCCCCCCCCCAACAAGAACTTTTGACATTTGACTTCCATACCTGCCCAAATATGAATTGGTATTGCTATTAACACATGTGTAATTAGTAATAACTGACCTCCATGCATTAACATTTTACTTTTTAAGCTGAAGAGTTTTTTATCGACTGTATCTAGTAGAAACTAGAAGTAATTTGCCTTCTTTCTCCCTATAAAAAGTCAATAGCCTAAATAAACAAAAAGAAATGAGCCTTTATCCATACCTAGCACATTCCGCACTACATCTACCCGCTCGGATCGACATTTTCTTAAACTAGAAAAATACTTTTTGTAGAAGTCCATGGGGTTTTACCTCAAAACCAATTGGCAATGAGTGGAGTAGCCCATGGTGCTTATATAGTGATACAAAGTGTCTCCAGACACCAATGTGTGATAAATATTTCAAAACTTTTTTTT